GTTCCTTTCTTTTGTTCTTCTCAATATCGTTGATCATTAGTTTGAAAGCATCCCACATGTTTAGTCGAGAATGTTTCTAGAAAAAAAAATCAAATTCATTAGTAAATATGCTTTACAATATTGATTTTCGAAAATGTGTTACAAAATTAAAAGGAATTGAAACACTTACAAGTACGAGTTTGTACTCGTTCCCAGTACCAAGATGAGCCAACAGTCCAGAAAGTGTGTCAATTGGCTTCTCATCGAAATAAATCTGTTGAAATTTAGGCTCGATAATAAAGATAAGGTCCAATTCTTTTTGCAATGCTTCGATGGTCGCCTAAAATGGAACTTTTGAAATAAATTTATACATTAAAATTAAAAAGAGACAAACCTGGTCATTGAGCGTAATTGTGCTTCTATTGTGCTCCTTTCCATCATTATCTTGAAGATGAATAACGACTCGCTTTTTTCAAAAACAAATTTGGAAAAGAAAAAAAATCAACTTGCTCAAAAATTATTGTTGAACGCATACCTCGAGCATGCTTTTGTATCTTTGCCAAAAATGGTTCTGTACTAAGCTGAAAAAACTTAGCTAACAATTTAAAATACATTGCGCCACGCAAGCCATCTAGATGGCGCCACAAGAAAATTTGGTTCTTATACGAGGTGTATGCTCAAGATATGGTTGAACGTTTAGCTGTTGTTCCAATGAATAAGCAATAATCATGTAAATATGACAGTCTGTCAAATTGTGCATTTTTAGAGTACGTTCGATGTTGCCATCGAAAGTATTTTAAGTATACACTAAGTATAAATTCATTTTGAATTGAAAAAAAAGAAGTTCATGTGTTGATTTAAAAGATGTTGACGTTAAAAATATTTGCCAAATACGGAAAAAAAATGTTTAATTCAAAAATATGGAATGAATCACGAAAAATATCAAAGGAATTTAAAATCAAAATTAATTCATTCAAACAGTTTCTACCGCTATTAATGTTGCCAGTTAAGTTGCGAGTGAATCGGTTTTGCTTGAAATTGGTCGTAAGAACATCAAGCTAACGCATAGAAACGCTATTTCATTCCGTTGATATACACATACAGAACGTTTTGGTTATATGTTGTGTAAATTTAATAAAATTATCAATACGCGGAAAGAGAAAAAATGAAAAAAAAAATCATGATCATTCACCTAAGAGGCATAGAGATAGAGAGATAGTGAGAGAAATGTTGTTTTCTTTTCATCATTTCATTTCATTTCATACAGGAAGAAATTTTTTTTTTTTCAGTACATTTGGAAAAAAAATTCACCGGTGCACACTTAAAAACAGATTGTTTACATTTTGAAATGAAAAAGCTTCATTTTATTTTTTTTTCATTTCAGTTGAGTTCTCTTGTTCGTTGATACATGCTTCCGTTGCTGCCAACAAATATAGTAAGCAGTGTGTGTGTGTGCCCATGTTTCCATTGTTATCAAAACTCCATTTCATTCATTCAATCAGAAATATTCGTTCGTTCGACAAGTAAAGACGTGATTTTCTTCAGTAACAAAATAGATTTGTACTTTCGTCTAAACGATAGGGGCATTAAGCCGGGTAGTTTGCATTGTGCTTGACTGATGATAATTTTTTCTACTCTTTCCCTCAAAAAATGCATGAACCTTCACCAATGATAGGGAACGAGAGAGAGAGAGAGAGAGAGAGAGAGAGGTGTTTTCGATGATCATGTTTCTTCGTGTATCGAATACACTCATGTGAAAGAGAAACTAAAAGAAACAATTGTATGTATATATGTGTGTGTAATGCAATGTAATTAGGAATGCGTTTGTCTTCTTTCGTACGTTCCAATGACCAGTGAGTGAAAGTATGAATGTTCGAGTAATCAAATGAGTGAGTGGGAGAGAGAAAGAGAGAGAGAGGTGTAGTATACAATCAAACGAACGAGGGAATATGTGAGTGTATGGGCTTCGCTCTTAGGATGACGCACGCGTTCGCATTGCTACCGCATGGATGATGCAAGAACCATGTGGTCGACGCAAGAGTTGGCCCAGAATCCCCATTTTCCTACTACTGAAATGGTTTTCTTTCTTTTTTTTTTAATGTTCAATGTCAATCAACACCGCTCAAATACTTTGTACAAATTCTGTAGATTGGCCACTGGAAGCAATAATGTTCCCAACTGAGCTGATGGTATCAAATACTTTTTAATGTTGTCGTAATAAACATGTTCGATTAGCCATTTCCATTCACATTCGTCAATAATCAGTGTTGTACGAGCATAGTACATGGCTGTTTCACGGCAGAATGTCTCGAAGCATTGTCTCTCTTTAGCCCAATCGACTTCAGTTACCAACCGTAGAATATACATTGGTAAGTGGCCTAAAGAAGGCGTATGATTATCTATTTAAATGTAAAAAGAGGAATTATCAATTGTTTTGTCATGCTTGTGATAAAATATGAATGAGTTTTTACCCAAAATGAGTGGCAATGTTTCCAAGTGACCGCTGCTGGAAATTGATAATCCATAGTATTCTCTCAGCATGTCTGCCTTTTTAATCAACGCCTCTTCCACATTTTCAGCCAGCTCAGATATTGGTCCATCTTGTTCACACCATCCACTTTCTTCGTTATTCAATGCCAGAATTGCCAAATCTTTTATCGACAGTGGATTTTCAAAACGAATCTCGCAAAAATTTTCAAAATCATACATCAACAATTGATAGAACAGCTCTTCACTATTACCAAAATAATCGCCATAAATTAAAACTAAATTCATTTTATCTGTAGTTCCATGGCATTTACCTTAACTTTTGTACATCACAAATGTATAAATTCGATCCAGACTGGATCAGCGATTGCCTTCGATTGATACAACCGACAAAATTTGAATCGGCCAATATTTGGCGCAATTTTCCATCGCAACGTGATTCAATCTTTTTTCGCAGTGTTAAGATACTCGTCAACTTGGTCTGCCTGTTATATAAGTTCGAGGGGGAAAACATTTCAATTTAGTTCTTGGTTAAGAAAAATGATATGACTTTTTTCGGTTTCTTACTTTCGTTTAACATCACCATTCGTTCGTGCAGGTAGAATAAATGATTTTCGTCCAACTAAATTAGACTCATTGTTATCATTCAGTGTGAACTCGGATTCAAACGATACATTGATTGTTGTTTCTGTATTGTCTTGTGAGTCTTTTGCAAATGATTTTCCGAAGAATTTTTCCAGTTTCTGTTCCTTGCTGTCTGATCGCACCATGTCTTTGGCATACACTTTTGTCTCTTTCCCTTGCGATGCTTGATCGCCGTTAACATCTCCGGGATTTGATGCACCGGGCAAAAGTTGTTGTGTATACACTTCTCTCGTTTCGTTCGATCCCACCAATTTACCTTCGAATGCCCATCGAATTTTGTCAACGATTTCTGTTTCATAGAGGAAGTTTACTTCGTGTTTCGTCGGATGCATATTGACATCAACGTTTTTCGGTTCAATTTGTAGATCCATGTAGACAAAAGGATGGTTTCCTTTCGGCAGAAATGGCGCATAGCATTGATCGATGGCGTTTTTTATCGCTGATGTGCACACAAAAAGGAATGAATTCGATCAGTGGTCTCAAATGGTTAGATTCACATATTATTTATAAAGAAAATAATCTCACCCGTCGATTCAACCAGCCGATGATTTATGAAGAGCAAAAATGTAAATTTTTTCGATGAGTATTTAACACTAGTTGCCAGAGCATACATTTTGAATTGTAATGGTTCATCTTGGCATTCGATGGTTTTCATTTCATTTACCACATCGGCACCGTACACAATCTATAAAGAATTTCCGCAATTTTATGAGAATCATCATCATCATTGGAATTTTTCAAAGAAAATTTTCTATACCTTGATATTGTCTTGCTTTGTCGAATTGATGGGTGTTCGAAGTGCTACGTTTTCACCTTGTTTGGTGAGTGTGAAGCTTACATTTGCATTATGTATTGCATACTTGCTAACAACATCCAAAATCCGGGAAAATTCCTCGCTAGCCGATTTAAAGAGTTGTTTGCGTTGTGACATATTGAAAAACATATCTTCAACCGTGATTTGTGTGCCCTGATTTCCCGCACAACTCTTGATATCACCTTTAAGACGACCATCTTCATATGATGCTCTGTGCGGTTAAAGTTTGAAAGTAAATTGGCTATCGTTTGAGTTCGTAATTTTAGATAGAAAAGTGAATAAAGTAATTACTTGTATGCGCATTTATCGTTGGCGGTTTTTGTTTGAATCGTTAGATGTGCAACATGACTGATACTGGAAAGAGCTTCACCGCGAAACCCATACGTGGCTATCGATTGCAAATCTTCAAATTGTTTCAATTTGGATGTGGTAAAACGTTCGCACACAATTCCCAAGTCATCTTTCCGTATACCAGTTCCATTATCGCGAATCTAAAATTGAGTTTTTGTTTGAATCGTCTGAATTCAAAAGCGATAGAATATCTCTTCCATTACCTGTAGATATTTTAGGCCTCCTGATTTTACCGTAATCTGAATGGCTGTTGAATTCGCGTCCAGGCTACAGTTGTGAAACAAAACAAAGAACCAAATGCTATCAATATAAATGATTTGCTTTTCTCTTGAAGTTACCTACCAATTTTCAATCATTTCCTTCAGAGCATTCGCTGGCCGCTTGATAATTTCACCAGCAGCAATCTTATTGACCACCACCGGATCGAGTTTCTGAATTACAGCTGGTTCAAAATCACACAATATATCCATTTCGGTGCAGCAATTTGTCTAAATATAACGATGGAATATCATTATTTTTTACTTTGATTCGATTAATATTGATGTCGCAGTGTAATCGCGCCAAATTGTTTCCCATAGCTTTGACACCATAAACAATGTCAAATATTTGAAATCTCTGAAATATGCTAGATGTCGCTGCCAGTACGTCGAGCTAGTTTCCATCAAAATAAATTCATCTGTCAAAAACATATGCGAATCAAAACAATTTTTATTTGGATTCAACAAGAAAATACGGAATCACATGATTGTATACAACTGATACATTTCTATTAAACATCTTAAATTTCTTATATACACACGATCTTTGTATGATACCTGTTCAGGAAGACAATTGTGAGTTTGTTCTTGTATTTTTGCTCAGGCAACCGAGTATAGGTAATTGAATGGGAGAAACAACAAGAACTATGATTTAATACGCATTAAGTTGCCCTAATGTATTCTCGCGCTAGGTAGCATTTATAAAATGAATGAAATAAACATACGTCCACCACAACAAAGGCATACATATGAGAGAAAAAGTTGTTAGATCGAAACGTACGTCATATAATAAAAAAAAATACAAAATCTGTGTCTGTGGATTTCATTGTTTAAGTCCGAAACCAATCATACAAATCCAACCGATCGAGTAGTGTCATAACTTTGCCAAGGGGCACAGAATCACCTGAATTGTTCCCGTTTAAAAAAAAAACTAAGCTGAATATTTCTTTGTGAAATAGTGTCAATAGTATGAACAAGTTCTTTTCGCTGCATTTCATTTAAATTAGTTCAAACTTTATTAAATCTGATTGCAAAATGTTGTAAAATTTTACGTAAAAATTGGAAAATTTTAATTAAATTTACGTATGTTGGCAATTGTGCATTGCGGAAAAAGGTAAAAGTTTACATTAAAAAAAAACAATGAAAATCTTCATAATTGTGGAAATTATTTATAGATAAAGCAAGGTGTTGAAATTGTGAACTGAAACGTCGTGTGTGTGTGTGAGATCTTGAGGCAAAGGGTGAATGATGCTATCGAATATGTCGTCAGAACATTGTGGACCCAGCTATGCAGATCTCCCAATGGAGGTAAGAAATTTTTCGATTATAAATTTTAAATAATAAGGTAGAGAATGAACAATATAGAGTAAATGGTAACAAATTAAAACACCTAGTGGAATCTGTGCATGAGGAGAATAATAAATGGACTTGCATCATTGTTAAAGCAAATGTATTAAAATGCATAAAAGGTTTCTCATTTAAATAACAAATTATTCATTTGTCTTTTTTTTTTGCGATTTATGGTATCTGGATTAATTTTTTTCAGTCACTCAGTTATATGTAGCTGTATGTAGTGGTACATAATTGAATCTGGCTAAGTTGATTGTAATCAACTATTTTGTATGGAGATAATCATGTTTAGTCAGCCATTAGTCACTTAAAATGTCCTAAAAATCGACTTACTAAGCAGATTTTAGAACATTGTCATATGCGTAGTCTTTTGGGCACATGTGCAATTATCATTGAGACATCAACGATATGAATCATGTGTTTTATATGCATTGTTAATTTCCATAAATAATGATTTCACATTATCTTTTCTCAATTCCAAATAGATAATTCTGCAAATTATGAGCTACTTGAATCCGGGCGATGTGTTGGAGGCGAGCTTAACATGTCGACGCTGGTTTAATGCTTCATTACATCCGAAGTTTATGTCTCGCATTCAAATTCATTTTGATAAATTACAATTGAATGATACTCATGATCCATCGTCGCCACTAAACGCATTTGCCGAATCAATGCGATATTATACAAAAATTTACTTGAACCAAGTGGATCTGGATCAGGCAAATCTGGAATTTTGGCATCGATTTGGTGCACAATTCATTGAAATTGTATTCAATTCGTGCGATCTGCGAGAGAAAACATTCAACGCAATCCTCAAACAGTTAACCAATTTAGAATCATTGCAAATCAACTCATGTCGCGAGCTATTTATGTCCGGACGTTTATTTAAAAATGCATGTGATCGCGAAGCGATTGGCGCGGCATGTGTGAATGTAAAACGCATTAGCCTTTGTAATAATCGTTATTTATCGGATGCATTGTTTAGCCGAATCGTTTCCACTATGAAAAATATCCAATATTTAAATTTATCCGGCTGTCATATCTCATTCCACAATGCACTTTATCGCAAATTTTATCCGGAATATGTGCATGATGCGAGTGAAAGTGTGCTCACCTTTCGTTACATTATACAGTTCATTGAATTTCAAGCAAATCACCTCAGATACCTTGATTTTAGCGAAACGCTTATCGATGGCAATGCCCTCACAACGATGGCTCAAGTAAATAACTTAAAATTGGAACAATTGGATTTGAGATCATGCGATCAGTTAACATCAGTTGGAATATGTTCATTTGTTCGCTTCCAAAGTGGATTAGTATCGTTGGATCTCTCTCATTCAGTGCGATTGACCGATCCAAGCGTATTGGAAATATGCCGAACGCTAACACAATTGAAAACATTGAAAATTCGCCGTTGCAGAGCCATCACCGATCAGAGTATAAAAGAGATTCGTTTACTGAAACATCTGGAGTGTTTGGATATTTCGGAATGTGATGCAATCACAAGTAAAGGTATTATAAATAATAAATAATGAATTAATAAATGAATAAAAAAAAAATAAATAAATAAATAAATAGGATTCATTGAGGGAATCGCAAATCAACCAAACGATTGTATGATCGAGCTGCACGTTAGTGCCTTGAATATTTGTGAATTGGCTGTTATCAAAGTAGCCGAATCTCTGCCGAGCCTTCGATTGCTGGATTTGAGTTTTTGTAAAAATGCCGTCACCAATTTGGCAGTGCAAATTATTTTCAAACATTTGACCAAACTGAGGACGTTGAACCTAGAGTTTTGTGATATGGTAAGTTTTAACAGATCATAATCACTAATGTAGGTAATATAAAACTGTTTGTTTATTCCAATCAGATATCCGATGCAGGCATCACAGGAATGGAAATGCAATTGCAAGTGGAAAAGTATGAACAAATGTTGAATCGTAAACAGAGTGACAGTGTGGCGAAAAGTTTAAGTGAATCGAATTTCCATATGGTTGATGATGCACAAGAGAATAATGATGAAGTTGATCAGCCCATCGAAGAGTTACAACATGAACCGATGATGAATCACCGCCATTCACATCCGTTTCACATTTCATTACGCAGCCGAGCCGAGGAAGATATTGTTAACGATGCAAAACGAAAGAAAATTATGCTGTATATGTGCGAGCAACCGCTCAACAAAGAGCAGATAAATTGTAGCCCATATTCGATAGTACGTTTAAAAGGGTTACGCCATCTGAATGTAGCGTCATGTAATCGCATTAGCGATGTATCATTGAAATATGCATTTGATTTCATTGAATTGGAAACGTTAAGCCTATCAAAATGCCAGCAAGTCTCTGCTATTGGCATCGAGTGTGTCCTTGTTAAATGTCCTTCCATTAAGGTCTTTAACCTTTCCGATTGTCACAATTTAACTGATCATGCAATTTTGATGATTTCATCACAAATGAAGCGCCTTACACATTTGCATATCGAACGCTGCAGCCAGTTGACTGATACCACTTTAGATTACATTGCATTAAATTGTAAACGCTTGAAATTACTAGATGTTCGTGGTTGTCGGTCGATGAGCTCAGAGCCAAATTTGCGGCTCGAGAATCTACGTTCATTGCAACAAATTTTAATGAGCAAACCTGGTCCGTACATGACTCCATTTGGTAAACAGCCAAAGGCACCACCAATGCCATCAGCGTTTTGATCACAGTGCTATATTTTTAAAGTACTTTTATTTAATATTATCGTTCTTGCTATTGTGCTTATTTGCTTGTTTTCAATTTGAAGAGAGTATTTTGTGAATTGGCTTCCGAAAATTAACACTTAAATTTTTGATTGTGATGCTTATAAGAATCAGAACTAACTTTTATTTAAAAATAAATATTGAATTATGAAAATTATTGTTGCTAGTTTTTATTGAAGTTTTTATAGTGCCAACGATAAATTATTTAAATTAAGTAAAATTGTAAAGTAAAACATTCATTGTTAATACGCTGTACAATACAATGAAATGAAGTACAGTAATTTTCAATGAAATTATACTTTGTCATCATTTATTATTTATTATTTATTATCTTGCATCAGATTAAAATCTTCTTTGAATTGTGATTAAATAAAGTCAATAGAGATTAGTTGTTCAATCGAACTTAATTGAATGTTTAATCAATCGATAAACATTGGTAGATTTTGCTTAAAATATTTCATGATGAATTTCGTTTTTTCTTCTAAAACTTCCTTTAGGGCACTATTTCCAAGGCGCACGATTACAATCTTTTTGAAATCGTCCATTGATTGTTGCCTTGGATTCTATCTTCGTATAAAAACAATCGAAGATGATTGGAATAATTGTCCATCGATTTATAATCGTGCGCCTTGGAAAAAGTGCCTTAAACTTTAACGAAAAAAAGAAAACGTTTAAATTATAATTTTTTTTTGGTCGATTTAATTTATATTTTATTTTAAAAAAGATGACAGTATTCGAGCAAACAGAAAATCTCTCGCCAAAAATTTAAGTAATGGTGCTGTATTATTAGTATATAAACGTGTATATAAATTGAACAAGTCAGAACAAATAAACTAAAAGTATCCAACCATTGATTTCTCCCATTGATCCTGACCTGTTGTTTCTCTCATCACCTAAGCTCATCACTGGAAGAAAATTTGATTGAGTGAATGAAATGACTTTATGAGAACATAATAAACGAAATTTATACAATTTTCAATGAACTTCTGCCGATTTTATTATTATTATTTTTTATATTTTTTGAAACCTTCCTTACAATTTTGATAAGGCTATTGAAGATATGTCAACGGTTATAGACTATTCGAATTTTTTGATGTGGCCACTTAGAATCGGGATTTTGTTCTCTTTGTCAAAAACGTGATGATCAGCATAGAATTTTGGTTGTCCTCCACTTTTTCACATTGCATCCACCCATTTCCGATGGCTCAGCATCTCAGCATCTCAGCATTTCGTATCGGCGGATATATCCGAGCATATCGACGACGCAAAACAATGTATAAGTGGCGTGAGTTAATTTACGTGTACTTAATTCATTAGAAATTCAATATTTATCGCACAATGTTTGATTAGAAACAAATATAATTTTAATTGCACAATTGTAAGAAAACCTATATGCCTGCAGAATATTTGGTCAAATCAAGTTTGGCGCGTTAATCGAACGCATCACATACATAAATTGTACAAGCCGCTTAGCAATCAATTGAAATAAATTGATATAAATTGAATGATGTTTTACACCGTACATAATTTAATAACGCATAATAATCAGCAGCATTATACAATGTTTTACAATGCCCAAAATTTCTCATTATAAACTACGTAGTGCACAATAGAATTTATCTTTTAAAAAAAGACACAACATTACGCGAATATTTTTTCAAATGCAATTCATAACTGTATTACGTTAAGGGAACAAACATACACTGGGCTTTTTATTCATATTTTCTCTGAATAACGCAAAAATCATCGTTGAAACCAAATTCACCTATTATTAACGGAATTCGTGCGAATATCGAAAAAATATGAGATTCCGGTATTCATAGGTGTTACTGTGTATTGTTTTACAGAAAAATTTGTTATAAAATTATATTAATTTACACCAAATAAACTAAAAGTATTTAAAAAAAAAATGAAACAAATTAGTGTTTTAACATAATGCCATAATTTGAAAATTGATCGATGAAATTTAAGACCTACGAAATAACATGTTATTGTTTAAGTACGAACAAAATACGTGATGTACACAGAAAAACAAATAAATAATGTGACTTCAATCAATTTAAAACGCTATGTTTTTTAAGCGACTCGAGTTCAGTGAATGCAGCAACATCGAGTGACCCACGAGAGATCCACCAACGCTTTATAATTCGCAGTGGCTTTGGTGAGCATATGAATATGATGAAAATGAACACACCTTGCAATGCAATTAAAATATCAAAAAATGCAAACGGAGACATTACTGCTGCTTCATTTGGAGTGATCGATGTATTTATGTGAGATGTAAGCATTTCAATTATCATACATATTGACATAAGTGCAAAGAGAAATGCCACACTTTGTGCTCTAATTAAGAAAAAAAAAATTGAAACAGTTGTCTATTATTTAAAAGACACTTTTTTTTCGAGACTCACGTTTGTTTAAGTTTGAAGAACTCTTCATACTCGCAAATCGCTTCTGGACCTTGGTTCTCATTCGGTGGCTTCGGCCGTCTTGTGCCGAAGAAATACAATGCCAACAGCAAGAAGCAGCAACAACAAAATAACAGAATTGCAGCTGGTATAATGTAGTAATTATCAGTAGAAGTGTTATTATGTTGTCCTTTTATGTAATACAACGGAATTCCGAATATGTGCTGCGAAGATGCCACCACAACGGGAAGAATCGGTAGACCAAATGATACTATCGCATAAGCGATAAAATATTTAGCTTCCGTGTTTACCGAGCATGAATATTTTTTCAAATACGTATATCTAGAACAATTTTACAATAAGTCGAATGGAAATCCATGCAAAGTTTCAAAGAAAAATAAAGAAAAAAAAAACTCACGAAATCTTAAAACAAATATCAAAACACAGTACACTCAACCAGCATATGCAGGATAATAGGAAATATTGAATGAAATATGTCAGATATATAACAATATCTTGTTGGAATTGAATGACAATCAAAAATGAATACGCGATGGCCAGACAAACGCAATGGCAAGCCAGCGATTTTCCATGCAAATCACGAAGTTCATCGATTTTAACGTAGAAAAATGCAGTGAGTAGTAAACATGGAACTGAAATCAATAGGCATGTTGAGTACAAATATGCTTCAGCACGTAGCACACGATTTGTTCTGGTTTGGTGGTTTGACTTCTGATCGCAAACGATCGCATATAAAAGGCTATCATTTCGATTCACGTCCAAGCAATAATTATTATGAACTTCGTAACCTTCGAAATTCTCGTCAACCGTCAGTAGTGAACCATTTTGTAAGATATACAATAAATCACCGTAAAATTTGCTATACAACACTAGTTGATTTTTGGGTTCTTTATTGTTGTTGTTGTTGTTGTTGTTGTTGTTGTTAATGTCTTGCGCTTTCGAGTTGCATGCATCCATGAATACAAGATCTAAATTTGGTCCACTTTCATTGTCCTCTATGCAATTTTGATAGAATGTAGCATTTAATATCGAAACATTAAAATGGTTCAGAATATCGACGGCACACTGTCGTCCATTTTCCCCAATTTCATAACTTTGGCCAGTCGGACAACACTTTCGAATGAACGATTCGGATGAATATTTCGGTTGAAACACTTCACTCAAAATCTACGCGTTCCGCATAAAAAATGAAAAGAAAAAACAACAAATAAATTGAAACATTTGAATTTGAACTAATCCATATTTTAGAATGGAAATCATTGAAATTACTTCGAGCCCGGAGCAGCTACTGTACGTTTCAATCACATCTAAATATCGCGTTTGACTACTAAGTTTTGTTTTTTTCGAAAATGTTTTCGCCGCCATGCCGTCCAATCGGATGGCAGCCGATGACACATTTTGAACCAATTCATTTTGGGTGACTGTTGCCACTGATGCACTAACAAAAATCAACACTATGCCAATGAAAAACCGACGATCGCATTCCATTTAACTGGATATATTATTCAGCACACGGTCTGTTTTTTTTTTGTTCGTTTAAAATTTTCTCCTATTTTGATAATGGTGATTAATATATGATTAAATAAAAGCTGATAAATTGTTGAAATCAATATATATTTGACGTCCAAGTGCACGGATACTCTAAATTAAAGTGGCCTTTAAAACTTCATCAATATCACTTGTTAATCGATCAAGCTGTGAGTAATGTTCGTTTGGCACCTACATACACTAAATGTGTCGCTGAAGCACATTTATGACGCACATGCGAATTTTCGTCTCAATTATTATTTTGTTAGCATAAGAAATACTAGCGCACCATTTTTTTTTTCTCAGTATCCACTGATACACTGAATTCATGGAACCGCTTTCAATATCACAGAATTTCACATAGAAGAACATTTAAAAAGAAAACACAGCGCCGATACATTAATCATGCTATGTGCAATGAAAAAAGTGATTTGAAATCATTTTTACACGAATATTAAATGACGACACTTTTTTCTTCGTCTTATAAATGAATTTATCTGTATTGTTGACAAGAAATTCACTGGCTATCTTATCTCTTGTGATTTCAAAAAAGGAGACAACATGCGTAATGTAATTCAATTGTCTGTACTGAATTGAATTCAAATGTTTGCTTTTCGATTTGCGCATGGGTTTCGTGATCGATTTCAAAGGTTCCGGCTTAAAATGAATTAGCATTTTTACGATAATTTGTAGCAAATACCAAAGTAACTTATTTCATCGTAAATTGATATCTAAAAAAAAAACGTTAATTAGAATGAAAACAATGGGAAATTTCACAAACAATTTAATGAATATAACAGAGACGGAAGCGGCTAGAATGATCAGTCAGAAAAATAATCATCGATGCCGGATTAATATTACTCTTTTAAAGTGCTAACCATCCCCATAATTTTGATATTTTCATTTTTAGTAGAATAATCGGATAGCCTTTAAATTTCTTGGAAATAGTGTGTCTGTCTTGGAATATATTTAATTTTCAATACATATGCAAGGTCATTGACTCATCTATCCATAAATATTGAAGTTAGTTTTTCCATCCAACAACATATCCAATTCTTCATTCATTTATACAAATAAGTGCCTATCTAGCAGTGTTGATGGTTGTTAAGCCATAGTACCCTTCATACACTGGCACATTGGTTGTATATTGTAGACACATATATATGTTTTGTTTGTTCGCGCACAACAAATCTACAATATACACATATATGTTCATATCACTCATGCACTAGGGGTTGCGCATGTAACTAGAAAAACGGTTCGGCCGAATATATTGAGTCATAGCGTTTACCGGTGCTAGCGGAAGTTTGATGAAGTGTATGTTTTTATCTAGTTCGTATTATTTCAAACGCAAATGCATAAAGTACCCTATTTCACAAGACTTGGTTCATTCAAACTCGTCATGCGCCATAACGAGTTTCTGCGTTATTTCCGAATGTGGATTGCACACAGGCACTATAACATTTGGTATTGTTATATACACATACTATGGACATGCGCACACCGATTCCACGATGTGGTACGCTCAAAAAAGGGAGAGAGCGAAACTCCTGAACAAAATGTATTTGATATGATGTTGCTTTGAAACTGTACTGTGTAAAATTCGTTGTTGGAAAAAAAATTCGAATTAGATATACCCAAGCGCAATGTAATAAAGCGACACGGGAGCGGATGAATGCGCAGGCACATGAATAGTCTGTCGATCTGATTCCATGAAAGGGCCAAATAGTTTGTACTAGTGTAAGCAAAGCTGCATCAAGTTGGTTTACTTGGATCGGCTATTATTTTTCACTCTCACTCACTCACTCTCTCTCTCTCTCTCTCTCTCTCTCTCTCTCTCTCTCTCTCTCTC